GGAGAGAGAGAGAGAGAGAGAGAGAGAGAGAGAGAGAGAGAGAGAGAGAGAGAGAGAGAGAGAGAGAGAGAGAGAGAGAGAGAGAGAGAGAGAGAGAGAGAGAGAGAGAGAGAGAGAGAGAGAGATTGAATATCCTTTTTTGACCCCGTTAAGTGGATCTCACGCGAAAATAAATAAAACTGTAGTTATTCTTCTTCCTCATTTACTAGACATGGCGAGTGAAGATAGTACATACATTTATCTGTCCTCATTACCGAGTTCAACGAGGTTTCCGATAAATAAGACGGCGGCTTTCCAAAATACAATTGATCCCCTAAACTTAAACGAAAAGTTCGACTACGAAGCAGCTTTAGTAAACCTTCTTTATCCCAGCGATCTTCACGCGTTAGTTAAGAACGATGAAACCTTCGGCGTCAATTTCTATTCAATACAGGTCGAAAGGGGAGTGGCTTCGTACCATTTTCTGTGGAAAAATCTTCCCAGGAGAAATTTTCTCGCGGAAACTATGGAAGAAATCGCCGAGGAACTCAATCGAGGGATTTTGAATGAATTAAAATACGTGTCGCGGAGTCAGTACATTACAACGGACTTTAGCTTACACGAAAAATTAATATACGATAGTGCGACTGAGAGGTGCATTCTTAGAAACTACCCGGGAGAGTCTTGTCTGGACGAGAACTCCGCATGCGGGATAGCTTTCTCGTTCGTCGCGCTTGGCCAAGATCTTGGGATTTGAGCAGGGAGGACTTTATCCTATCTATTCTCCCTCGGATATAGACAATATACCGTACCAACTTGCTCATGTTGCCAGATATCCGCACCGATTAGGCGCGGATACGGATTATTTTTTCTGTTATTCGGATATTGTGGAGCCTACGATATATATATATATATATATATATATATATATATATATATATATATATATATATATATATATATATATATATATAATATATATATATATATATATATATATATATATGGAGAGGCGGGTAGGGGTAGGGCGAGGCGGAGGAGAAGGGGGAGGAGAAGGGGGAGGAGAAGGGGGAGGAGAAGGAGGAGAAGGAGGAGGATAGGAGAGGAGGCGCGAGGTGGAGGGTAAGGATTCTTGCCTGCTGTTCTTCTTCTTTTTCTTTCTTATGTATGGTCTGCCTCCCTTCCGGTGCTCTTCTTCTTCTTCTTCTTCTTCTTTGTCCTTTGAGATTCCTCGGCTCCCGGATGCTTTTGAGTTGCCTGAAATTAGACAAATATAGTATTTGTTACTTACAGATATTACACGTAGCGGTTAATATTGCTATAATATTAATAATAATAATAATAATAATAATAATAATAATAATAATAATAATAATAATACGATATTTTTTTTCTTACCTGAGGTTTCTTTTTCTTCTTCCATAGTGTCAGTGTCAGCCAGCCTCGACAATACGAGTGTTTCCGCTATACCGAATACTAGAAAGAGAAAACAATATTACTTGCCTATTCTTACTTGCACAGTAAATATATATAGTTTACTTATCTATAAATACTTATTTTTTTTTCCTCATAATTCTTTTGTTCTGCCGCTGTTGCCGCTGCTATTTCTGCTGCTTCTGTTTCATCAACGGGCGGAAGTCTCGACAACATGAGTGTTTCTGCTGTACAAGATACTAGAGGAAATATATTAATTACTCACTCACTTCCACAATTTATCTATCTATCTATTTATATTGTGGAGCCCAATTTTTATTATATATAACTTACTTTTTTATCCTCATAATATTTTTCTGCTGCTGCCGCTGCTGTAGCGATTGCGGCTGGCGTTTCTACCACTGCAACTGCTGTTTCCGCAGCAGAAACATCTAGAGAGAGAAAAAAAACGCCTGTATTACTTACTTACTCTTATTCAGACAATATTTTTTTTTCACTAGTTTTTTAGATTATCTCGATTTACCGAGGAAAATTTAAGGCCAGTACCTCACTTATAAGATCTTGAGTTTCTCCACATATTTGAGAAAGGGAGACGGTAATTCTGAAATAAGGATTTATAGGTCTTACCCTCCAATATCTCCATTCTATTTCAGTAATACTACACCTTGTACTTACGCGAGGGGGTAGACATTGGGGAAGGGCCTTTTGATATTGCATCACCGTCCGAAGCTGCTGCAGTTGGCGTATTTTCCATCCTTTCTAGACTAGAGACCCAGCCCCAGTCATCATCTGGTTGGTACTCGCTTGATCTTAGAAGACCCTCAATGAAATCAGGGTCCGAAGCCTAGTCTTGTTGAACTGAAATAATAAAACTTATGGCACCCTTTTTTCCTATACTCTTTTTTTTTTCTCCACACTTTTTCAATTATCAACTTTCTTCACAATCTACTGCTCACCTCTATCACTTTCTTCTCCTTCTTCTTCATTCCTCTCTCCTCTTTTCTCCTCGCCATCTATTTTCAATTGGACCTGCACTTCATCAATTCTAGTGTACAACTTCCATCTTGCCGACCTTTCTCCCCCCCAC